ATCATCATCATTGTGCAGCGAAATACAGTGAGTATGCAAGGAAAATATAGACTGGACCTATTTTGAAGGAGGGGGAGAAATTGAACCTCCATAGTCGAAACACGAAATTAACAATCTAACTGTGCATACATACCGTTTTAAGCATTCTGGCCTGATAAAAAATGACAAGAGATCCACTACTGTCGGTTTGCTGCCATATCCTTTAATGTCTACAACCAACCAGTTGTGGAGTCCTTTGGACCCCAACATGAAAGGCGAGAGACCTACTCTACCGAATAGATCTGTACATCTCTCCACGTCATCTATTGACCTCCACGTGGTTTCCTTCAGCCCGGAGCGGCCATAGTGAATGAAGCGCCGTGCGGCAGACGACAGCTGAGCACACGCAAGCGATACCCACTAATCTGAACTCGAGCNAGTTTATCCCTGGTAAACTCCCAAACACACGACGGCTTACCTCCACGTTACTAACCCGTTTGCTCCATCCAACGTGGGCTGAACTGCGTAAACACCGATAATCAAAAACTTATAGTCGACAGATATCTTCTACTCGCAAATTCAAGGTCTTACAATCATAAAGCAGAACTGAACGAACGGTGGCACAATGTACACGACCTTTCAATTTCAGTGGAACGTTGGGTCTACGCCAAAGGTGTTTCAATCCTGCGTACGCTGCTCGAGCCTTGGAAATGCGGGCGGTTATCTCTTTTGCTGCGGTACCGTCATTAGTGGCACAACTACCTAAGTAATCCGCTATAACTAATTCCTGGCCATTTAGTTTCAAAGCGGGACCAGGCGACTACCAGAATTGTGGCATTACTTTCCTATTTGAAGGTGCACAACACATACCGAATGGGGTAACAACAATTGTTATTCTACCCAGTACGCTCTGCACATCTTCCATACATTAAAACAGACAGACGATGTCATTAACGTACTCTGAATCGCACAGCTTTTGTCCAACTGCCCTATCAATACCTACGTCTTGGAGACCATTTAGTGCGTTCTCCACAATTTCGTCCACGAGGAAATTCAATAGGGATGGCAAAATAGGAAATCCTTGACGAACGCCGCTAATAGTGACGAACGGCCTAATTAGTTCGGTATAAACCTTCCCTCGACCAGAGGTATGTGAGTACAGTGACCTTCGTGGTTAATTGAGTCGAAGGCTCCTTTCAGGTCAACGGTGGGTGTGACACACCTCAAAGACTTGACGCCGGTGATTTGCCTCAAGATGAAACAATACGCTCTTGCTTCCAAATGTTGTGCAATAAGTTAGTAATAGAGTTGATGAGGTTATCATCCCCATCTTGGAAATAGTGGGAGAAAGCCTATCTAGTCCTCTTGCCTCTCCTCGTTTCAGAGCTTGAATGCGTTATCGAACCTCTACTTACGCCGGAGGATCACACAAGGCTGCTCACGGAGCTTCAGTTACCGATGAGGTAATCTGGTTAACGCCCGGCCATCTGAATGGTTCGCTGAAGTATTCCGCCCAACGTTCAATGCGTTGTTCCCTATTTTGAATGGTTTGTCCCTTCTTATTGTGCACTGTTTCGTTAGCTGGAGTTCGTCGAACACCGGTACTGCGTATCAGTCGGAACAGTCTTTGACTATTCCCTGATGCAGCTGCTATTTCCATTTCACTCACCAGTTTTCATGATCCTTCTTGAGGCTCTTCGTAAGTTGATGTTGCAGACGCCAACCAACTCTGTTCTGATCCTGGCAGGTGGGTATTAGTCGTTTTTTATTCATCAGGGATACCAACTCATGAAATATCCAATGCCTCTGGCAGGCTTGAGGCTCAGACCCACAAGCAACATTCGCTGCGGAATGCATTGGTCAGCTAATCTGATCTCTCTGCTTATCTACACTATTATGTTGAGGAGCACTTAGCTCGCACCTTAGCTCTGATTCATAG